CCCCCCCCCCCTCGAAACTTTTTTCTGGCTACGCCACTTTTCTGGCTAAGTCCAATATTCCACAATTTACGCGGAATTCATTACGTAAGCAACTGCAATTTTCAGGAACTATATTTTTCCTGTATATTTTTATGGGACAAATTAGATTAATTTTCACACATACAAAAACTAGCTTTCGCTGTTATTTCTTCCTCGATATTTTTTGTTTGAATTTTATATCTGTTAATAATAGAAAACTGCTACTTCGCAAAATTACCAGATCAAGTGGGATTTTCTTTATTTTCATCGTAAATTAATTTTCAGTATGATTTGAAAATTATCGATATTTTCCATTGTGAGAATTCAATTTTACTAATTAATCTTTACTTCAAAGAATAATGATTTCAAGCCTATCGTGAGCGTGAAAGTCTTAGCTTTTCAACGAGCGCGTCTCAAGTCGCTACGTGCTATACAAGTGGAGAAATAATTTATTATGTCCAGCCGCGCGCTCACAGCTTTGGCTCAGCGCTGCCGGGTCGAGCCCGCCGCATTCTTGAGGTGTATTTGTAAACAATAATGGAATTCGGGGAACGCGTTTATCGCGCTGAGGAATGCACTTGTCCCACTTCCGTGTCTATTTTTACTGACCAATAGACCGCAAGGCCGTTTGGCGATCTCAAGAACGTTGACGCGTTCGCATGCGCCATCGTTTCCTACTGCAACGCGCTAAATTTTGAAATAAAAAATTTATGCATCACGAGTCCATACAGTAGCAATGACATGAGACAAAAATTGTAAATTTTAATTGTCAGTTCTGAAGACGAAGTGATTAGTTTACGGGATTGCGTTTATTTGTTTATAAGTCCTATTAGTTAGTCGAGTTTTTACTTATAATTCTGAAATACTGTGTAATAATATATGTGTGAAAAATGTGAGATTATTAACCTCTTTGCAATGTGTTTCAGCTCCTTCAGCACAAAGAGTGGAAGATATCTGTGTTTCTATGGTCGGCTTTATCATAGCATTGATAATTACGGCTCTCTTGGCACTGGTTGCCGTAGCTATCGCTGTGTCATGCTGGCTTATGGCGTATCGACGTCAGCCAAAGACTGCTGGACCACTGCCACACCCACCAGAGTTCCCAAACCCCTTGTTCACTACTGAATCCGTAGCTGAACCTTCTCCTGACTATCACCTATCATAAGTCCCTTAGAATATATAAATAATATTTTATAAATAACATAAATTTTATAATATTTCTGTGGAATGCATCTCAGACCATGATTCCTATTGGTCGGTTTTGTATTTCTGTACGCAACTCCTCCAGTGACTGTCACTTTGTCACTTTGTACTCTCTTTTTCAAAGGTTCAAACAATATGTCACTGTCATACCATGTGTACTACGACGCTACATACATACTATTTATGGTGATGGTTTGCTTCCATTATCTACTTGCAAGCAAAAAATTTGGGACTGTCTTTTCCTTTTATACGTCTTTCTTGTATTATTTTCTCTAGTCAGTGGAGGATTTGTTATGAATGTAATGCTGCGAATTTAATTCCTGTGTAAAGTCAACGAATTAGTCTAATATAGCTTTCTTATTGCGAACATAGGTAATTGTACATTTTATCTAATAAAATGCTAACGAAATATTTTTTAAAAAATCTTTAAAAAAAGACCTTTAAAGACCTTTACAATATTTTTAATTTATCAAATTATATGTAGAATTCGTAAGACAACTTGACATTGCAGTTTGACTAACTTAGATTTATTTTCAGGATTGCTTCATTTCATAACATGTACAGAAAAATGCAATAATACACATTGATAGAAATATATTTCACAGTAAATCTACATACTTGTATTACATAACTAAATGTGATGTTAATATATCTTATCGAGATTATATCTTCTCCATGCAATTCATATAAAATGCAATATTGTATAAAATAGCTATACAATTAATATGTGAACGATCGAATTTTTATGCTGTGTGAGAAGTATACGAATTTTAATAAATATTATTTAGAAAAGATACTCGCAATATGTCACAATGTACAAAGAGTGACTAAAATGTATTTTGACAAAGATTATCCCTTAATGACCGCAATTGGCCGCAATTTGATACATTTCTTGGAGATTCCAGCTGCATGGCAAGTATTGACGACGTCTGTTACATTTTTGTAGGATTCTGGCGCTTCTTCCATCACCAATTTTGGAGAAGCGACCCGGATGGATATGCCTAAATCTTCTAATTTGTCCAAAACTTGTTTATAGTCCAGATTTCTACGTGACTTCGCTCTTGAGAGAGCACGACCCTAGAAAACGTATACATATATTTTTTGCATATTTTTTATATTATAATTTCACATATAATAGATACACACTATTTGTATAGAGTCACTTAGAAAATTAGGATTAGAGAATTTGATGTAAATAGTTTTCAAAAAATTTAAACAATCCCTATATACTTACAGCACCATGACACGTTGATCCAAACGTTTCTTTCATGCCCTGTTCTGTACCAGTGAGGACATAACTGCAAGTTCCCATTGTACCACCGATTAAAACTGGCTGGCCTGTTAACTGATAGTCTACAGGAATCAAAGGATGATGCGGCGGGAACGCTCTTGTTGATCCCTTTAGCAAAATATTTATTCATTAAGAAGATAATTGTTCTGCTACGTTTAAACAGAACACTATTCATCATCATTTAATTGTAAATACAGTCGGATGTCTTAAAACGTTACCTTTCTATGAACTAAAAGAGTCTTCTGTTTCCCATCAACTATGTGCTCTTCTATTTTGGCAATATTATGGGAAACATCATAAATAACATGCATATCCAAGTCATCAGGAGATAAGTGAAATTGTTTCGCAAACGCCTGCAAATATGTCGTGTATTCTTTCGTATTTCAATTAAATAGTAAGTATTTTTAATAGTAATATTAAGTATTTGTTTTTAATACCTGTCGACTAAGGAATGTCATAGAACTCCTGTTAACCCATGCAAAATTAGCGGCAGCTGCCATCGATTTTAAGTAATTCTGACCTTCTTGAGATTTGATATGAGCGCATGCAAGTTGTCTGTCGTTGGTTTCTATATTGTCGCGCTTCATAGCTTTTTCCATCTCCACAAGTGCATCTGAAATATCATTTTATAGTATCAAATATGATTTCACAATGACTTTCATAAAAGCTCTTGAATATACGTCAAAATGTATGTCCGAATGTCTTACGGAAACTAGTAAGAAAATATGTGTATTTTATAATCGAAAATAAGCTGGTCAAATAGAAAGAAATAACCTGTAGCAACTTGATGACCAAATCCTCTGCTTCCCGAATGGATCATAACGCAAATTTGTCCTTTCTCTTCAATACCCATTTTACAAGCTGCCCACTTGTCATATATTTCATCTACCACCTGAATTTCTGCATAATGATTTCCAGCTCCTAAAGTACCTAACTAAAATACACATAATTGTAACGTATATATATTTGAGTGATATAATTTTTTAAGCTTGTGTTAAATGGTCTCATACCTGAGGAAGGCCACGTTTCTTAGCCCTCATTGATACTTTTGATGGATCAGCATTGAGCATTCTACCGTATTCTTCACAGTGCTCCTTATCTTCAGCCCAAATGTAACCTAAAGGTATTTAAAATTTTAGCATTTATGTCATTATATTCTTTGATTGCATCACACACACACACACACACAAAGTTTTCTCTTTTACCTTCTCGCAGAGACCAATCCATTCCCATCTCTAATGCTTCTTCCAAATCTCGTGCGTTCATTGGTATAATTCCTTTAGAACCAACACCAACTGGTATATGATCAAACATACTTTGAGCAAGTTGCTCCTAGAAAGAAATATTTTTATATCATTATATGCACATGTATACACATAAACTTCTATTATTTCATAACAAGTTAAAAATATACAATATTAAGGTAGATTTTGTCTTTCAAATATAGAATAAATAATATATATTACTTTTACTGGTAATACATCATCTTCAAATAAATTAGTTCGTAGTAAACGAACACCACAATTTATATCAAAGCCTACACCACCAGGTGATACAATTGATTTTGGATCATCCATGTCAAATGCTGCCATATTACCTAAATATAATAATTTTCATTTATGTTAATATTTTATTTACACACACACATACACATATTATATATATATATATATTTATTTTATATATATATATAAAATTATGATTATAATAGTAATATATTTATTATTTTACCAATAGCAAAGCCATATCCAGAATGTACATCAGGTAATCCAACTGATCTCCATACAATTCCAGGTAATGCAGCAACATTAGCAATCTGTTTCACTCCAGGAAGGAAACCTCCAATTGCACCTGGTCGACACGCATTGCGTAGCTCATCAAACATCAATTTTTCCAATGTATTGTTCACGTAAAATACTCCTTCAACCTTAAATCATAATTTGTTGATGTGTGTAATAAAATAAATATAAATATTAATAATTTCCTAATATCTTCTTGCAACTATATTTTCTATTTAATACAAAGAAGAAATTACCTTCATATTAGGTTGAAAGCCTTTTTTTATTCTCCAACAATTCTCAGTTATTTTTTCTAAGTATTTAAGTTCCTCTTGGTATTGTCTTACAACCATTTTTCTATAAATAAGGCATAATATTACATTAATAAGAGATAATTATGTAAAATAATTGAACATATTGGAACAAACATACTATATTATTCAAATATAATTAATAAATTTATATTTCTTTTAAGATAAATATAATATTGCACATTAGCAAAAATATTAATTATGCAAGTTTTCTTCAATTATTTCAGCAAAATATACTATGAATTATTTCTAAAATATAATAAAAATTGCAATTTTACAATCACATTTTGTGTACATAACAAATATGTTAAGAGTAAAATTCATATATTGATAATGTTAATAATATTACAAAGCAAACAAATTATAAATAATTTTATCGGAATACAAAATAATTTAATACCAGTTTTGTGTCACAACAATTCGCAATATTCTATATTATGATGGCTAGTTATAAACGTGACTGCATCATAATTAAACTAGGAATTCGTTATATTTATAAGTCCTATCAGGAATAAATAAATGTATTAAATATAATTGTAGACGATACGTACATTTACAATTTTTTAATTTAACAGATGATAATGATAAACTGAAGTTTGTTCTATCATTACCTTTAATCTATCACTACGACTTTTACGGTCGGTATATGGTGGCGGCTCGTAGCGGAGACTTAAGAACTAATTTTGCAAAAATAACGAGTCTAAGAATGCGATCCATTAGACGTTTCAAATACTTTGAAGCGATATAGACCAATCATGATTTTCTTTTAAGAGTTTCAAAGCGTTTGTAGCATCTAATGGATCGCGCCCCAAGTATAGATTAATTCCGAGGTTGCCGCTACGAGCCGCTAGAGTCATTAATGCAGAATTTGCAGTAGTGAATACATTGTATAATATATATAATATTTATGAGAAAATTACATACTTATTTTAGCGATTGTATCACAAGGGTCGAATAGGCTTAGGACCTAGACCCGTACACCTTTTGTACACCCTTTATTCTCAATAAAAAAAAAATGCAATAGTGAAATAACTCAAAAACAAGTCAGACATATTTAGCAGAGAGAAGCCTGATGACTCCTGCACACAGGACGCGGTAAGGGCTATCGCACACAAATTGACATAACTGCATATGCATAGCATAAGACCGTATGTACCAATGAGCATCGAGTATTAAGTCGCCATATTGGTGTTCGATGCTTAATATTCGATGCTCATTGGTCCATACGATCTTATGCTATGCAGTTATGTCAATTTGTGTGCGATAGCCCATTACCCTTACCGCGTCCACATGCAGGAGCCATGAGAGCGGCCACGCCATATGTTTTGGGCGACACCGATTTTCACGCTGGTGCGATGCGCCATCTGCATCCATTTTTCAGGTGGAACTACGTTCCCTACGCCCATTTTCAGACGATGCCGGTAAAACAGCGATTCAGTGCGTGTCTATTCTACGCCCATTTCCTGGCGATCGTGTCCGTGTTAAGCGCATAATTGCGTGGTTAAGAACATGGACTATTGCGTACGAACTTATATCCCATTCGACATGCACATGATCTTTTCTCTTTACGCACTGTCATAAATTTATTTACGTGTATATGCGTACGAAACATCATATGTACGTGTATATGCGAGAACCTGACCGTGAAAAGCATGCCCACTTCCATGCTCTACATAACGCAACGATATGCTAAAGCAGTGGTATTTTTCGTAATATTACAGACCACTAATTCCAATAGAGTAAAGTGAGAAGAAATAATTGCTTTTTAAACGAAATCAATATCTGTTGTAGTTGTCGAAAGAAAGCAAAAAATGCTGGCGGCATATAAGCACTCGACCGCGACGTCGAAACGTACGCACGCTTCCACGCTTTATCTAAAGCAGTGATGCTTTCGTAATATTATAAACCATTAATTCCAATACAGTAAAGTGTGGAGAAGTCTGTGCTTTTTGAACGAAATCGATACCTTTTGTAATTGCCGAAAGAAAGCAAAAAATACTGGCGGCATATAAGCACCGCGACGTCGTGCTCAGGCTTTTATATGCCGTTAGCATTTATTGCTTAATTTCGGCAACTACAAAAGATATCGATTTCGTTCAAAAAGCACTGTCTTCTCCACACTTTACTCTATTGGAATTAGTTGTTTATAATATTACGATTAATACCACTGCTTTAGGTAAAGTATAGAAATGCGCGAATGTGTTTCGATGTTGCGATCAAGCTCTTACATGCCGCTAGCATTTATTCCTTATTTCTCGGCAACTGCGAAAGATATTGATGTTATTTAAAGAGCACTAGTTTTTCCACAGTTTATGCTACTGGAATTAATGTTTTATAATAATGTGATTAATATCGTTGCGTTATGTAGAGCATGGAAGTGGGCGTGCTTTTCGCAGTCAGGTTCTCGCATATACACGTACATATGATATTTCGTACGCATATACGCATATATGTAAATAAATTTATGACAGTGCGTAAAGAGAAAAGATCATGTGCATATTGAATGGAATATAAGTTCGTACGCAACGGTCCATGTTCTTAACCACGCAATTATGCGCTTAGCACGGACACGAATCGCCAGGAAATGGGCGTAGAATAGACACGCACCGAATCGCTGCTTTACCGGTATCATCTGAAAATGGGCGTAGGGAACGTAGTTCCACCTGAAAGATGGCACATCGCACCAGCGTGAAAATCAGTATCGCCCAAAACATATGACGTGGCCACTCTCAGGCTTCTCTTTGTACTTAGCATACTTTTCACGTAACATATCTTAACGGCTAGTTAGACGAATATTGCTTCAGGTTAGGTTAGGTTCAGTTGTATTGGAGTTCACGAAAATGGCTAGTAAGGCTGCGACTACTTTTCGGCAAGTGAAGCCTATTTTATCTGTTAATAGAGAAGACGCACGTCGAAGAGTACTTAAGCTGTACAAAGCATGGATTCGTCAAGTACCACAAGCATGTGAGCAATATTATTTCTCATGTATTATTAACTATAAAGTTTTTATATTTGTCACTTAACCTACGGGATAATCTTTTATCCTTTACACCATCATATATGCATTTATTTATAATTCAAATTATCTCTTGTAGTTATATAAACTGTTGCGATATAAACTATTAGTTCGTTGATGATTTATTCTTAATGTATAAAAGTTGTTTACTATCCTGAGATTTGATTTCAAATCATTGCTTACCTATTCTAACATTTATACTTTCTTTTTGCAGTATTGTTATATGATATTCCCAAAAAGGAAGCAGACTGCAAAAAAAAGATACGTGAAGAATTTAAACGTCATGCTCATGTAACTGATGTAAGGATTATAGACCAGCTTGTTATAAGGGTATGAATATATACTAAATATAAAAATAAATCATTTTGTAAACAGATAAAGAATAAAAACTAATTAGTTATTTTAATGCAATAATGAAATATAATTAAAGATTATAACTATAATAATTAAGGATAAACAAAAGTTACTAGTGATATCTTTTCATACTGATTTAATAATTGATAATTATTTTGTATGTATAATATTAAATATAAGATTATGTACTTTAATAGGGTCAAATGGAGTTGCAAGAAGTCGCTAACATATGGAAACCTAAGGGACAATTAATGACTTATTGGCAGGAAACTATGGAAAAGAAGCCAACTGATTTCATGTCGAAATTCCTCGCAGGTCATGAATAATTTTCTCTAGTTTTGTTAGTATTTGAAGGTTATTTTTGTCTGTATCTTAGAAATATAATAAATTGTATGTACATAATATATACAAGGCTTGAATAAGTGGATATATTTTCATGTCCTAGTAGTAAAGTATATTAAAAGAATTCATATTAAATGTAGAAAGATGTGTGGAAATAGATGAACATATTACATTTTTAAATAGAATTGTACAATCTCTTTAATTTATATAGAAATTTATATAGAAACATATATTTTAAATTGGAGAAATTTCTTAATATAAATAAAAATTACTGATAATTTGAAAAGATTAATCTTTAATTGACTCTTATAGAAGATAATATTTCTTTTAATTTACATTTTATCTTTACATCGATATATTATTATTCAGTTATATACATTTGACATGATATATTACTAAGCACCTTAGGTACAATCTAGTTCACTTTTCACAGCCATACGGATAATTTGCTTCCTTCAGTGAACAAGTATAATTAAATTTAGATTCTAGAGATACTATTTTATATATATATATATATATATATATATATATATATAAAATAGTAATACTATTATATAGTATAATATATATAATAGTATTAACGGTACTTGGATTTATATATGTATTAATAAACATTTTTTATACATATACACACATCTTATACATTCATGCTGCATGTTTGATTGTGCGCGCGTATACGTACGCAATGCCATCCTAATTCTTTTTTTCACACCGTTAAACCAAATAGATCGTCAATCGATCTAAGTGTCTGTACTTTGGTCATGATTTTTATAAAATAGTCTAGCGTTTTCGCGCTATACATACTCGAATTAAAAATCTTAAAGAGAACAGTCCTGTGCCACATAAAAGTCGCTTCCTGCATCACCTCGATGGACACGTTTCTTTTTTTTAGTACAAGTTATAAAATAAAATATCTAGATATTAAAAAATATACAATGTCGGTAACTTTCATATACATAAATTGCACATAACTAAGCTAGAAAAAAGATGGCAACAATAACTTATGCTTATGACTTTCGTAAACGTAATATATTCCGCGTAGTTGCGCAATTTCTTTCCTGTTCCTTCACACGTGATTCCATCTCTCGCTTTTCTTCATCGCGGAAGAAACAAAGAAAACAAAAATAAAAAACATCTCTCGAATCGTGCGCTAGACTATACTTTCGCGTTCGGGTTGCATCTCGTACCGTTCCATCCCTTTTCCTAAATAGACTTCGCTACTGCGCAATCCAGTACCATTGAACAGATTAACTAGCCAACTTCTAATTGAATTTCGCGCGGAAGACTTTTTATCAGGTACACTGTCCGTGCTAGGCCCGGATATCTCCTGATCCAGCGAGCGCCAGCGCTTGATCGGTACTACTTCACCCATGCAGCCGCTGTCGTCACCTAATAACGGCATCTCTGCTTCGTTCGGAGAGTTACCGGAGTGAGGCACAATTATCACATTACCGTTAGGATGATTATTATCCAGTAATTTCTCGGTTATGTCTGTTTTCGAATTGATCCGCGTGAACTTGACACAATTCTCTAACGAACAGAAGATCTTCTTCGGCTCCTTCCAGGAGAGGCTCGGCGACTCGAAATGTTTGTTGTATATGTCGCAGGGGAACGGATCCAATGAGCGAGATTCGCGAATGACAAGCTGAGACGGATAGTCACTCGTCGATGACGAGGATGCGATGGTAGACAGACGCGCATTTTTTCTGAACTTCGGTCCTGTGTCCGCAAGGAAATCCTCGAAGGCCATCTTTATCTCGATGGCGCGTTCCTGCGCTTCCTCCATAATCGGGACATTATCTATCGTGGTCTTGGAGACGCTCTTAGCTAGAGACAGGCGAGATCCTTCGAACTTGGGTGCATGGAACGAGCGCGGAACTGGACTGGACCCTCCGCATTGGGACGACGAGTCGTCTGCTAATAAACGCGGTACATTCGACTGTCTTCTTCGCGGTGTACAGAACAGAGGTGGAAGATCACCTACATCAACCTGCAGAGACGTAAAAATTCATTTTATATAAAAGAGACCATGAATGGGAGTCATTAAATAAAACTGTACACGAAGTATATTCTTCTTTAGCGATAATTTTCATAAAAATTACGGAATTATGTCACTCGTAACTTGGAAAGCACTGACGACTTTGAAAATAAAAATAAGCGTGAATCTAACATGTATAACTATCTAACATAATTTTAGAATATTACACGAATATTATCTAAATCTAGCATGTATAATTAAAACCTAAGAGTTTGTTACACGAACCTCTCGTTTTTGAATGGCTTTTTCAGTGGCTCCTATGAGCCAATACGTCTTTACTTCTCCTTTGCCTTTCATGTGTATAAAGCCACGCTCTTCGACAACATACCCTCCAATCTTGTCGAGAGCATTCTTGCATTGCTTACTGATATGTATTCGTAACGGTTCTCCGTTGGATTCCATGCGAGACGCGGTATTTACCGTGTCCCCAAACAGGCAATACCTGGGCATCGTTAGACCGACAACGCCAGCTACTACAGGACCTGCAATTTAACGTTCATATCGTCATCTCTTCTATCGATCCCTGTAATCGCATAACATGTCATGTGTCATTAAAAACACATCGTTTCTTACCCGTATGAATACCGATACGTAGCTTGAGAGTTTCATGAGGTCGATGAGCTATGGTGTGCTGTTTAACAGCGTTAAGTAATTCCAACGACATTGATGCTATCTCGCCGGCATGCCTATCTCCATTTTTTATCGGAAGACCGGAAACCTGAATGTATACAGCGCGTCGCGCATTGAAAGATGATTCTGTCGTGATTAATAAATTAACGCATCAGACAATGCTACTTACGACCATGTAGGCGTCTCCGATCGTTTCCACTTTGTACACGTCGTATCCTTTGATTATACGATCGAACAAGGTATACAGATCATTCAAGAAATTTACAACCTGCCGGCACGATTATTAAGTCAGCGTGGATAACAAATATTAATTCCGTCGTATCAATAAGACAGAATGTAAAAGAATATAATACCTCAAACGGCGTGCTCTCCGCCGACATCGCCGTGAAGCCGACGATATCGCTGAAGTATATAGTGACCAGATCAAAGGCCTCGGGCTCTACTCCGATACCGTTTGTTAGACGATTCGCGACGGGCCTAAAAGCAACCGACGAGATATCCCATGAATGCATATACACTGGATTACGCGTGGTTGTCGACGAAGATGACTCACTTAGGTAACATTCTATGCAGCAGGTCCTCGGTTTTCTGCTTTTCCTCGAAAAGAAGGCGCGTACGCTCACTGACTAGATCTTCGAGGTTGTTCGCGTATGTTTCCATCATGTGCATCATTTGATCCATTATATTTTGATTCGTTCCAGCCTTCATTGCCATTAGTCGGGTCCTTATCACCTTGAAGTCTGGCCTAACGTTTGGATCTTCGTCCCAGCAGTCTGTAATAGTATTGACCACGTATTCGGCGCAATCCGCTTTAGACTTGGTAAGCACGTCTATGTCAGGCCTGAACGGCAGTTTCTTCTTGTCTTCTTCCCTTTCCTTTGGGTTGTAGTTCTTCACTCGTTCTATGATGTCTATGGATATCAATGATCATGTTTACTTCTTCGACAGCCTCTTGGCATCGGTCGCGACGAACACCGGTGTCGATGATATTGTAATAGTTACCTTTGGGGTCCATAGTGATACCGTACGGTCCCTTTCGCCCGATCATTTCGAAGAGAATGATAGCGAAAGAGTAAACGTCTCCTTTCTGCGTGCCCCTAATCGCGTTATTTGGTTCTCTCAATAGCTCGGGAGCCTTCCAAAGCAAGTCTGAAAAATAAGATGAAATAAGCAAAGAAAGATATCGGAGGCTCTGAAGTTGAGCAAATAGCAAGAACCGCCGCTGGATGTTTAAATCTTAGCAAGAGAACAAAGTAACATCCAGCGCGACGGCTCTTATAAAACAAAGTGTAACGATTAAAATAAAGTAGAAGATATTTATACGTACTTTGATAATACTGATGTTCACCGATGCTGCCGGATTCGGCGCAGTGACGCATATCGTGAAGACCGAAATCGGAGACTTGGAGTACCCAACGTGAGGTCACGACGCAATTGGAAGACTTCAGATTACCATGACAGACTAGCACAGGTGAATCGTGAATGTACAGCATACCCTGTTTAGGTAGAAGTCATTTCTAAAATCACCTTACAATACTGTTATATCTTTTTTACTTTTGTTTAAAGACACTTACCTTAATGAGATCGTGAACTAACGACGTAATGAACATATTATCTAACTTGATATCTTCGTTTTCGATAATGTCCTAAAAAAAAAATAAGACATACATTGATAATGAGCACGTGTAGCTCTCTTTCTCGTTCTTTCTTTCATTCTTTATGATTTTCTCGATATAGCTTCGACTTTCAGAGAAATTTATGTATGATAATATGTTCCTCGCACATAATACACTATTACGAATAATAGTAGGATGTCACCGTGATTACGCTGTGACGTACATAAAGACTTCCTTTGGCACAATACTCGGTAAGTAACAATATCCTCATCGGCTCCACGCATGCTCCGATGAAAGAGTTGAGATTATCGTGTCTAATTTCACGGAGAATGCGCAATTCCTTCATATCGTCCCGTGAAATGTCTTTTTTCTTCGAGAACTTCAGCTCCTTTATTCGCACCACTACGCCGCGATAATGGCCGGTCTGCGCGAACACTTGGCCGCCGCATTTTGACTCGTAGGACATTGCACTAACTAAACTTAACTGTAATCAAAAGGTGTTTAGAACATCGGCGACGCATGAGAGCGCAGGCGTTCAAGCTGTCACAAAGCCGTTAAAAAGTGCACGCAGGCACTACTCGCGCTACTCACCTTACTAGGGGAGGACATCATGTTGTCGAGATGCGGACTGTGTATCTCGCTCAAGTCGATCCTCCAGAGCAATCCCTCTATCTCCTGCTCTATCTTCCACTTTCGATAAATGCTGATAGTGATCGCCGTAGCGCATATCACCAAAACACCCAGCACACCGGCGGCGATGATGCTGTGATGATGCGTGTCTTTCTTCGGACAGTGCTCATTGAAGAAACCGCAGCCGGGTTCCGCCTCCGGCTTATTCTTACCGGGCCAATCCATAGCTCCCGATGGTCTGTACACCTGCATTGTGCAATCGCGTCGTGTTTTTTATTCGGTGCCATCGCAGCGCGTTCGAGTTTTACGGTTCGGTGATTTAAATGTGAATTACGACTTTTTTGCTCCTAAAACCCGCCCGTGAAAAATTTTCTGGAATGCTACAAACAACTCACTCACTAGAGTTTCACCCTGCTGGAACTGGCCCACGGGCTTCATCTGGTAGTCGCAGGTAAAGTTGCTGAGTTTAAAAGGCTCTTTCTTTAGAGCGAGTACCGAGAAGTTACCCTCCGAGTCGCCGAATTGGTCCAGCTTGATGGTCGCGCCACTCACACCTACCAAGGCAAAGGAAAAACGTCACTCTTTTCCGAGCACACGATTTTTCGTTGACTGTAAAGGAAACATTTACAGACAGAAACATTTACAGATATTTATGCCCAGACAGAGACCAAGTGGGATCCACTTAAGAATCGCATCGATCTGTGTATTTAGATCGGGGATCGACCTCTTGCCGTTTATCATCGTTGCGTCAAGTGGTAGAGATCGCGCAAACCACTCGAGATTAATCCTATCGATACAAATTACGTCTATCAGATTATACATACTTACTTTGATATGTATGATTCTTGATAATCGTTTCGATTATCCGAGAGCCGTTACTGGCGACCTCCATCAGCGTTTGATTCGGTTGATCCTCCAACAATTGATGCAAAGCTCTCGCGTACAGTTTGACGGAATCGTACAGATACGCCGCGTGAATGGACACGTACTGAAACGGAAATGAAGCGTGTAACGAGACAGTTGCGCGGTTTGCGAGAGCGGTTTAACCGCTCCGGTTACGGGAGCCACCGTCCGAAAATACCTTCTCGAACTTTTTCAGGAGCTCAGGAGTCGTGAAGTTGAATGGCTTCTTCGAATTGTAGTCGCGGACCTTCTTCGTGAAGTCCTCATAAACTTGCGTCGGCGGCGATGACACGACCACCATCAACGAGCGTGCCTTTTGCAGGAAGTTCTTTGGCTCGAGACAATTTTTCAGAATACTGAAGTGTTCAGGTTCTGTCAACAGTAACGGCGAACTATCACAATTGATTTTAATGAGTTGGAAGTTGAAGCGCGAAGAGCATCGTACGATTTGCACGCGTGGGTGCGGATATATGTTTAGACACATGTATTTATAATCCGTTCTTAAATTCACCAAGAAATCGATCTTGTAATCGAGCTATAAACAGCGCTATATTACGACACATGTGGTTCGATCGATCGTCTGTTTATTATCTAAGTTATAAATAACACATTTGATAAGGGGAGCTCATGCTAAATCTACTCACTCCACAAGTATTTCTGCGCTTCGCGCGGCGAATACGTCATCATATCCACGTGTATCACCATGTACTCCCCGTTGTCCAGCAGCTTTTGGTTTTGCATCGAATTCATCATATCTATCAGTGACATTGCCGTACCCAGGAAGATGTAAACTGAAGTAATAAGCGTGAACATTTCGGATTGAGTGGAACGAATGGAGCCACCGCGTAATGCACGTAATTCTTCCTTTCTCATATAAACAAATTTGTTACTTTCTTTCTTCTATTTCTAACAACACTCGACGTACATACAAAAACATAAACGAAAGAAAGACTTTTATATTTATACGTGATTTATTGTGAACAAATGCACTATGCGGCTAATCAAACAGGACAGAGCAAAGAAACGCGAACAAAGCGCTGTCTCTAAGTTCAAGATCGGCAAGATTAATGCTGGATCCCAAGAGACGGTCGCCGGGAGTTGTCGATGCTTCTCAAATCAGTCTACTCGAGACTCGATCCCATCGGACTGACTGACTGACGGACAGACGGATGATCAGCGACCGTCTCTTGCGAGCCACCGCAAACGTAAAGAAATGTGGACTGACTGCGGGTCTTATTTTTGGTCTCCTGTATTAGTTGGAACCATACGGGGACTTCGCAGCAAGGCAGCCTCTCTTCGCAACACGTGTGCCGGTCCTCGACGAGCCTGTGGTGGTTTACGGTGAGGTTGTTCTCGTGCGCCTGGTACTCCAGGGAACGGGCGACCGTAGACCAGGCCATCTCGGCCACGATCGAGAATTTGTTCCATCCGTAGTGCAGCAGCAGGGCGATCACTGACTTGGTCACCTGCGTGTCCGGCGGCTCGGTCCTCGCGAAGGTGTTTACGTTCGAAGCCTTGTAGTCGGAACATTTCTGTAATACAAAAAACAAAGTGATCGTTACCGCACATATGCGCGACACATTGCTCAACGAGCTCCCTCTCCCTTCTACTTACGAAAATCGTTTCCAATCCCCGGATCCCACCCCCCTAACATCGTGAGGGAACCTTATTTTTAATCGACCCATTTCGCCGTCGGCCCCGCGGTCCGCTATGAAGTAATCGTTTAATTCATCGAATCGCAAGCCGGGATTTATTTAGCGTCGCGCCACGCCGACGCGACGCGAGTAATTGAATTCACTGCATCCGCTACGTCCGGTTTTATGTACCTGTTCACATCGAACACTCTGAGATCTGCATACGATATACGGGTGATATTGCATAAGATATCCAAAAGCATGATCTTAGTCAGCGGTCGTTAATCATTATTATTCGCACTTGGTATAGACATTTTTTCATCTAAGAACGGCACAATCAACGAGCGATATCCGCACGATTGCTCGATACAACTAATTAACTAGCCACGTGCAATTCTACCGACTGCACGCAGACGGCGTGTCGTTGCGTTCGCTTATCGCCCAGCGCGCTCGGTGCCCGGCAATTTCTTTCAGTGTAACCGTAACGTGGGAGGAGATCGCGAGTACGCCCTTTCCTTGAAAGTAAACGAGCGCACGTGTGTACGTAAAACGCGTGCGTGGTGTACACCAAGCTGGGCTCTGGTCCGTTGGTGCAATGAAAACGAGCGTAGCCGCGAAGCAAGCGGGAGGAGAACGACGACGACGACGACGAGGAAGAAGAGGAGGAGTACGAGGAGGAGGAGGAAGAGGAAGAGGAGAGGGCGAAGCAGAAGGAAGGGAAAAGGAGACCGCCGCGATGGAAGAAAAAGGACAAGAAGAGCGGGGTGAGAGAGGAGACCGAGAGCAGAGGAGTTGGAGAACAAGCGAGAGGAGATGGGAGAGGCAGAGGGAAGAGGAGAGAGAGAAAAAGAGGAGAGAAAGAGAGGCAAAGAGACGGAGATGCACCAGGAGTAATGCAGCAAAGTGGGCTGCGTCGGGTGCCATGGTGTGTGGCGCGGTTAAATATAAATCCGTGGCGCGGCACGAAGGAGGGCAGGAGAAGTGGAATGAACGGGGCGACTCTCTTCTCTTCTTTCCTCTCGTCGCGAGCGCACGTACCCGAAGAGGTGCACGGGGCGACTGAAATGTGACATGCGCTCCTCATTAACATATAAATTAAACGTGACAGTCGTGGGGCTTAGTCCTTCTTTAACTATAGCGACCACCGTCGCACCGCCGTTGATCCCTTTCATTCTCTTCTCGACTAACACGGCCGCCGCCGTCATCATCATCATTATCATCATCATCATCATCGTTGTCGTCGCCGTCGTTTTTGTTTATCTTTATCCGGAAAAACCTGGAATGTCGCGGTTCAGTTTGCGAGCCGGCGCCGCGAATGTCGCAACGTTGCTTTTTTTATTGATTTTTAATTAATAAACAATGGTCCCCGGTAGCGCCGGGAACTTTGGTAACGCGAACATTGGTCAATCGTCGAGCTCGAGAGGAAGTCGCCAAAAACGATATCTCGCGACGGCATTCAAGAATCTAATGTGAGTTTTTATGTTTCGTGTGTTGTCACCAGAGAACATATTTACACGATATCGCACTCATTTGTTACTGTTCATACACCCGGTATATATCTCTTCTCGTTTCTCTATTTTGTTTGCTCTCGAGCAATTTAACGCTGCTATAACGACCGTCTCTCTAATTTGCCTATCGCTCGTTGAGAGATCGCTGCAAGTGTAGCACGTATATCGTCGTTGCGGATACACCGATTACCTTCTCGTGATAAATTTTAATGTCGCTAAAATCCACTTAAATACTCGTTCAAAGTATGGCCATTAAAAGAGGAATAAATCAACAAAAAGAAATTCTATAATTTGGCATCACCACCACCAATCCTTTTCACTTCGGCTTCACCCTTACAGAGAAGAAAACGCTTGTTTTTCAATCGACTGTAGCCCAGATGGTGTAGTAAATTATAAAAATATCGGCTTACGCAGAGACTCACGTAGCGCAATTGCAAGTTATTCACTAAGAGGAAGAAGAAAACGAGGAGGTCGAGGAAAGGAAGAGACGATTATATGCTCGTGGCCAGTTTTGCCACTAATAGCTTCGTTCATCGGAAGGAGAAACCAACCGCATGGTCGTAAGGTTCTCACGGGTGTGTATTTGTCTGGGCCGAGAGTCGGGAATAAAAGAGGAGCAAGAAAGAGAGACAGAGTGAGAGAGTAAAAGAGAGAGAGCTGAAGCGGGTCAGGTTTGTTTATCGGGGCCTGGATCCCGACTTTTCCCTTCTCGCGTGCGACCGATAGCCTCGGTAGACGAAACTAACTGACCCAATGCTCCTCGGATCGGTTAGCCTAGTTCGTGGGCAGGAGACGCGGGGACGAGAGTTCTTCTAATTTTAGCATTGCGATCTCGCGCGACCCGAACGTGCTCTGGAATCTTCCGGAAAACTTGACGTCTCGTTAGAGCGAGATCTCTCGGGGGGCAACGAACCGTATTCGCGAAGTATTTCATGCTGAATACGGTCCCTTGGTCCTTTCGACCAGGTCAAACTGGTCGCATGACTACTCACACGTCCTTAGTCACTGACACCCTGGAAGTCTGCTTTTTTTCTGCGACCAGTGGCGATTGTTCACAGTTTTAGTCGTGAAGTCATCTCCTTTGGAGTCACTGAATAGGCAAAAAGCTTAACTGCAATGCTGGTCGCACGATAAGCCAGGTTCTTTTCCAGAGTGCCAATGATTAATGGGATGTCAATAATTGGGTGTTTTACTCTACCTCGCACGGAGGAGACGTCTCGTGCGAGCACGGGACGAAAAGCGAGCAATCAACCAATCACCTTGAACGTCGGTGTGCGCGATGAGAATGCGAAACGACGTATTTCATTGGCACACTCTCCCCCATTTGAAGATCACGACGTTTTCAGATCGAGGGGGAAGTTCTCTGTTAAAGTCCGCTCGTTGAACTCCGCCGGTCGCCCTCGACTTCTTCGCGGACTCTGTACCACCATCGCGACGATTGCCTCGCGATTTCGCGTTGCGCAGTCGCACACTCTCGGAAACTTACGCACAATCGCAATGACAAATCGCTTCGTTACTTCTTCCCGTAATTATCGCGTCGCTTTTATCCCGACGTTTCCTTTCTGGACGACGCAATCGTCGGAGCACGTCGAACGCGTCATCTCGCTCTCTTCCCTCGAATATTATCAAGTCGATCAGCAAAGGATTTGGCTTGTTAAAGAAAATGGAAGACGAAATCGTCCAATTTCGAGGGATTAATGATTTCTACGAATTGAATGAACATGAAATGTGCACTCAGTGTTTTTTAGACATCTAACGAGGACTTCTATGAACTACTCTTCTCTGAACACCCGAATTCCCTAGGAGAGAATTTAATAGCAAACTGACAAATGATTTGCGGCAACTTCATATGCACCTCTCCACTTGGAGTTTGTTTATCTCCGGCTTTTTGCACGGTGAAAGGCCGGTTGGCAGGACCGGTGGACAAAACTGAGCCGCCGCTCAGAGCGGTTATCCTAGTTCGAGGTGCTCGGCGAGGTGGGCTTTGGTCATTGCCGGCTCGACGCGGTGTTATTCTGGGCTCCACTCGGCTATATTTAGACGAGACCACCTTGAGGGAGCTCAAGTCTCGAGAGCTCTCCGTGGCACAACGAGCTGGTTTTCTCTGCCGGCCGATTGTGTCTGGTTGTGCAACGCCGCCGCCACCGCGCGACTCCTTGTGCCGGCGGCCGCTCGAAAAACAGCCGGGGAAATCTCCTCTTTCGCCTTTCCAGCCGACTGTGCGCGACTTTAAACATCCTTCGATCGGCCCCGGTCTGCTTTTTCGCCGGCCGTGCGCAACGAATAGTTTGCCCGCGGTTACGTTGCGCAACGTTCCCTCCCGCTAAGGTTTGCTTAACCTTTAAACGGGTAATTAGAGGTAATAACGGAGACAGATATCCCTTCCTCCCCCGAATGGCATTTATTTATAGTCCTCACAAAAATGATCCTGATGTCCTTACGTAAGATCGCGAAGTGCTCCTCGCGCGTTTAAGGAGATACTGAAAATTTTACCGACAAAACACTGACATTTTTCTACAAAGTTTACGTCGTATTGGTTATGCAAAATTACAAATTCTTTTACGTAATGAAAATACGTGCAAAAATAAATAGGAGCATTGCTCGATATGTAAAGAAAAAATTTTAAATGTAAAATCTCAAGCTGTCAATTAGCGCAATATTTGCCTAATCCAAAAGTTCCGCAGCTTGTATATACCGAAAGTGTGGATGCTCCTAACAGAAAAATTATGAAGAACATTGCTCTACCTTCACATCTGTATTTGGAAGTTTAAAAATATCGAAAAAGTTTGCACAAAGATTTTTACACATATATGATTAGGTTTTGCGTTGAATATAGTAAAACAAAGCAACACACACATTCATATAAGTTCTGTAGTATATACAAGAGATACGAAAAGGATAGCGTGATTATTGGTCTGTTTTTTTCAACTGCATTGCTAAATTGCAATAAGTTAAAGTGAGACAAGTATATGTTTTCTCACTCTAACTTATTGCAGTTCAGCAGTGCAGTTGAAAAAAACAGACCATATGTTAGTGACGATCGTCTCTGCATTATCGACATTGTCCGAGTTCGTCATCCCACTCCAGCATCCCCTTCTGAACTACTTGTGCGGTGCATCGAATGACAAATCAGGTGAAATTATATTGAATTCTATACTCTCGCAGACGCACACGCTAATTGCTTACCGGCATGATAAGGAAATGATTCTTGTCAGTGATATGCCTGCGACCAGGAATTGTGTGTAACTGCACTTAAAAGATATAATCTCATCCTATAAGCGGAATCCTTTAAATTCTAGAGAATTTTAGAGAAATTTTTGTATATGGCCTCAAGGAGATTTTTCTACAACCAAACGGAAAATATTCTAAGCGCAATATTCTTCAAGTTAG